TTTGATGGCTTTTGCAATAGAAGTGGGGGCATAACCATGAGCAACTTTATAGCAACTTCTTCCATTCCTGTACCATTGATGTAGTATCCTACAATCTTTGACATCTCTTCAATTAAACGTTTTCCCGACTTCCCAGATGGAATTTTAAAGAGATTTATTTTCCACTTGATTGTCTCCGAATAGGCATCATTTACAGCCTTTATTATATCATCTCCCTTCAACGAATTACCCCAACGACAGTTTTCGATGTTACTAGTAGGTGTTGCTGGAGTTGGAATAGATGGTTGTATACTTTCTTCGACCTGTATCCTTTCTTCGACCTGTCTCCTCAGAACTCGAATAGCTTCGGTGATGGGGTTGTCTTCGTCTTCCTCTTCGTTGCTCTTCTTCTCTTTGCTACATCTTTGACATGACCACTCAGAATCTTCATTTTCCGATAGGTCTTTAAACTCCAACTCAGACAGTCCACTACAAGCGCTATGGAACTATCGACCACACATCCCCTCACATAGAATACAGTCGTACATGACTTCCTTTGAACAATATCCACAGATATCAGCTATATTTTCAATTCGCTTTACTACTCTGGACCTAGTGTCCATTTTTCTAGTGTCCGGCATTCCAACCCAAAAACAGGTACCACTACTGTTGCCGAGTCGGTTACCAGCAGAAACTGAAGCTTACCGCTGTCAGTCCCTACTGGATACGGGTCTCCTTAACAGTAGTGGACCCAAATTCGGGATCTGATGGAGTAATCTCAACACCAGAGGATTTTACAGATTATCACACAAAATCAAGTTAAGATGATATTTTATTAGGTTCTATAAACGTATGATGAAAATGATATTTTAGGCGGCCTATAGGCGGCATTGAAAATCTGGTAAGATAATTGAATCAATTTTGGTCACAATCTTTGACTTTGCAGTTGGCTATTTGAAGCTGGCTTTGGACCTAGACTGACAAAAGCTGTCATAGTTCGAACTAAATGCCTTTGAGTTCAAACTTAATGCACATCCACTGAAGCTTTGGCCACCGGTAGAGGGGCCTTATCCATGTTGGAGGACTTCGCCGCTTCGACGGGCAGCGCAAACTAGCATTCTTGCTTCGCATCGACGGTCGTCGCAAAGCAACGATCTCGATGGGTTGACATCGAAGTCCTCTAATTTATTAGACAGAGAAGAGTCAAGATTTTGTTCAAAATTCAAAACTAACGTTTGGGGACTTGATAGAATGGAGATGACAAGGTAATTTGTAAATATTTAGATTTCTTTATTTATCTTACCTGGGGACCTCAGGCTGTTATGTTCATAAACATAGGAATAGAGATTCGGCGGAATGACAGGCTGAGCGCCGCCCAGTAATATTTATCTCACACATAAACGGGCTGAGTTGATATGATGGATGATCTTTCAATTTTGAATTTATTCATAAATATAATATGATATGTATTAATCGTACTGTGGTAAATAAGAATTATGATTGTAGCGCGATGCACAACTGGGTCGCGCGCGCATCAAATTATGCTTCTCGCAACCACATGCAGATCGGCGAGATGCCAAGGATTGACATCGTAAATCAAGAATTATGATTACAGTAAAATTGAATTAAGATTAGAAGACCTTGTATCACGTTGCGACCCCCACGGTCGTTTCATATATGGTATTGGTCGTCCTGACGATACAGGGGGAGCCGCGCACTTCGTGCGCGGCGGGTCATACAACGTATGACAAAGAAGACCTGGATACAAAATAATATAAATAAACCAAATAAAATGACTTTTTTCATTTGTAGGTTAATGATCTAACAAGCTGCGCGCTGAGTTGGACTAGTCGACAGTATAATTGATAATATTTGGAACAAATATTTTACGAGAATCACCTGTTAACATGATTTATTCTGTTTTAACACTTGATGGATGATATTCGTTTGAATTTTTCAAAGTTTATAGCGCGCGCCTTCTTTTCGAAATACTACCAGATCGAAGCAAAATGGTGTCATACGTTCAACGTTGTATGACCCGCCGCGCGGCCCCCCTGTAGCGTTATTATTACATCAAACATAAATATTTTCTTCGTTGCACGTTGATTGTTGAAGGACGTTTATCTGTCGTCTGTCGTCGCTTAGCTTCGCACGCAATATCATATAACGCCAAACACATAAACGTAGGGGGTGCACAATAACAATAAACTTGCTTGTTGCTCGGATTTTAACATTTTTGTACCAAATTTGTCATACCTTTTTATTTTGGAAATATCAGTGAGTTTCGCCTAGGTGCCATATTTGATGTTAACAGGTGATACTCGTAAAATATCTGTTCCATATATTGGACCCGCGTCGACGAGTCCAACTCGGCGCGCGTCCTGGTAGGTTGTAAACCTACAAGGCACGCGCGGCTCACTGTCGATGGCGCACTACCTAATAAACGCATTATCATTCTTGCTTCGTTTCAAGATCGTTGCTTTGCTTTTATTTGGAAGGGTTGTATGTTGTATGTTGTATGGCATCGTCAATCAATTTTCTTCGGTAATTTAGGATTTAGTACCAACAAATACAATCGTGTTTTATGTGTTGTGCCATTCACAATGAACTTTGTCATATCATACGTTCAACGTTGTAAACCTGCCGCGCACGAGTGCACGGCTGTAATTGTGTATCGTGACCACGATACTCAGTGAAATTACACTCAGTGAAACGACAAGGGGGTTACGACGTGATGCAAATTGAACTTATTTCGAATTAGTTTTCGAATTAATACTTTAACAAATTTAAACGTTTTACAGTGCGGTTATCTTGTATCTGTCACCAAAGAAACATGTCCCCTGGCCTTTTATTCTATTCTGAAGAATTTCCGTTTATTATTACATCAAACATAAAATCCTTTTTCATCAACATAAACTTGACCATTGTTAATGATCTGGCCCGGCGCGCGCTACTTCGAAGAAATTTAGACGAGCAACATCCGTCAAACATAAACGCATTATCATTCTTGCTTTGCTTCGAGATCGTTACTGGGCGGCGCTCAGCCTGTCATTCCGCCGAATCTTTATTATTTTTATGAACATAATAGCCTGGGGTCCTCAGGTAACGAGATCGTTGCTTTGGTTTACAAAGCATCGATCTGGAATGTAGAACTGTATTGTCATACGTTGCGCGGCTCCCCTGTATCGTAGAAACTCTACTTCACTATAGTGAAGCGACAGTGGGGGTCACCACGTGATACAAGAACTGTAAGGGTTGGCATCGTCAATCAACTTTATTCGGTAATTTAGAATTTAGCACCACAAATACAATTGTGTCTTGTGTGTTGTCATTCTATTCTGACGAATTTCCGTTTATTATTCAGCATCTATCTTGGAGAGCTTCGCCGTTTCGACGCGCCGCGCAAATTAGCATTCTTGCTTTGCATCGAGATGGTTGCAAAGCAACGATCTGGAAGGGTTGACATCGTCAATCAACATTTATCTGGAAGGGTTTGCATCGTCAATCAACTTGCTTCGGTAATTTAGAATTCAGTACCACGAATACAGTCGTGTCTTGTGTGTTGTGCCATGCATTCACATTGAACTCATTAACAATCAATTGATCATCGAAGAACGAAGAAAAAATGTTGTCAAAACATTAAAATTTGGGTTAAAGAAAACTAATATCTTTTTTATCAATAAACTCTGAAAATGTTAGTACATGGTAGAACATTTCACAATTTTCCTTATATTTGAAAATATTGTGCGAACTGCAATATGCAATAGCGTAGAGTGTTACCTGGGGACCTCAGGCTATCATGTTCATAAAAACCGCATAGAGATTCGGCGGAATGACAGTGCAGGCTGAGCGCGGCCCAGTAACGTAGAGTGCAGTTGGGTTTCAAGTTTTGTCGAGATGGCTATGTGGCCATAATCCTATTATTATTATTATTATTTATTTGACTGAAGATGTCAACCCTTCCAGATCGTTGCTCTCTAAAGCAACGATCTAGTCAGAATGCGAAGTAAGAATGCTAGTTTGCGCGGCGCGTCGAAGCGGCGAACTCCTAGCCTCCAAATGCCAAAGTTTTATCAAATCTTTCTCCGATATTCAGCTTCCAGTACCTCTTGTGAAACTTGTGACCTGTGAAACTCACACTTACCTCAATGACATGATTGGTCACTGGTCAAAACTGTAAAACTTCGGTCAAGGAAACGACAAAAAGCTTTTATTTAATATGTAATATAAAACCTGATGATTTTCCGTTTATCAATGCTTTCTCCGAGATGTTGGTTCTCAATACCTTGACCATGTCTTGTACCATTCACAGTTCACTAGCATTGCCATTAATTGGAAACTGGGCAGTAATACTAATTATGTCAAAGCCGAAATCTTGGCTTGAGGAAAGTTTATATTTTGTATTTGATCATTGATAATGAGCTACCAGTGCCAGTACTGGTACTGATAGTACATTTCGGTGATTTTCATTCTTTTCAAGGATTCTCTGTTCTCCAGGATTATTACTTTCAATATCTCAGCTGTGTCCTGTACCACCATAGTAGGAAACTGAAGCAAGGGGTACAATAGTCTTCCCTCAGAAGTATAAGTTCCCTATCCTTCTCATCGAAAGGGCTAACAAACTTTTTCTTTCAAAAGAAAGGTACATATTTATAATTATTTTCGACATATAGATCTATCCATAACGTATACAATGTAATATGTATACATGTATACTATACAGGTCCTAATATATAACAACACTATCAGATACATTAATTTTTCATTCGAATTGTTTAGATTTTACACCGTAAAACTTCCGAATTCTGATAGAATACTTGTTGACGTTTTCCGAATGTGCTTGATTTGGCAGTTAAGTAAGTGGCAGGTTCTAATTTTATGGATCATTATTTTGGGCTTTACTTAATTTACTTAAGTTAACGATTAACCAAGATGATTCTGTATACCTGAACAAATGATATCATGTCACATAAATAAATTTGAGAGAGAATCGAATTGAAGAGAGAAGTGAAACGAACACCTTTGCTTATTTGCTATGGTTAAAAATAGCGGCAACACAATAATCGCTAGTAATTTTGGCTCGTAATATTATACACAATTCACAATAAATAAAAATCATTGGTAATCAGCTGAATCATCGTTCACGCGTTAACTTGCAAACAACAAGCTATAAGAGATCTGATCAACAACAATGTTAACAATAGCTTCAAATGTGACACTATCATTTAACATCTCTATCATAAAATTCATCTTCATACCATCAATATAACCGTTATATTTGTCTACAGTTCTAATACTCTATCTCTATTCACTATAATTCACCTAAGGCCGGTAGTTTTCTCTCTAAAACTCAGTTTCAAGTCAGAGCGTTAGCTAGTAGTGGGGGAGAGTGCACCAGGAGGCCATTATCCTGTATTTTAGGAGAGCATGCGGCATGCTCTTGTAAACTCTTTCTAATGTGTTGCATGTGCTCACTTACTGCCCATTATGATTTCCAACGGTAAAGCTAGAGGCTGAGCGGGGAATAATTATTTGCTAACATTGCTTACTCCACGTGTTAATGTCAACGCACGTGACTAATGGAAAGTTAATTTATCGCACGTGTTGTATTCCTTGTATTCCACGTGTGACGGATTGTATTGTTTTTTACAATTATCTAGAGGAAGGGGTGCATGCAGCGATTTACAGGCTGCCCAATTGAGTACAAGAGTTGACAACTAAGTCACTAATTATAATGATCTGAGGATGCAGGGCATCATCCCCCTACACCACCAAAAAACGGCAAAATCAAAATACCGCCCAATATCCTGTGTATTGACAACTGGGCTACTAAATCTCTCAGTATATACATCTCTATAACAAGTCCTACTCTAGAGCTAACAGTCTGGGTATCTTCTTATCTTCTCACCCGCGCGCTACATTTCCACACTATCTTGCACATCCTCTTAGAGGTGATCTGAAGAACAGCTCACTGTCACGTGATCCTGATCACGTGACAGAGCTACTGGGTCCGTGACTCCGCTCACCAGAGTGACGAGTTCACGTTTAAGAAGAAGAGTCTCTCGAGCTCCTGCAGCGAGCTGCACTGCTGGAACGAGTTCACGGACACTGTCCACTCGAGGAAGACCTTGTCTACAGGAGGCGGACAGGCTGGTATAGAGCACAGGTAGTAGGCTAACTGGGCCAGACACCGGTACGTGCCACACTTCTCTTGCCAGTATCTGGTAAAGGGATTGGGTTAACATTTACCTCGCCTAGCTTTATCTTAAATCCGTTTAAAAAAATCAAAGATAAAATGGAGATTGCAGTCCCGAATCAACCTGAAACGAATGACAGAATCGTAATTAATCATTAAGTAGCTAATTAACTCTGACTCACCTAAACGGACACTCGCAGTCTAGCAGAAGCTGGTCTCTGACGAAATCGTTGAACTCGACAAGAAGAGCACTGCTGGGTTTGACGTCCTTGTAATCGTTCTTCTCTAGAAATGCAAACAGTTTTCTTCGCTTTGTTGCTTGTTCGTTCGCCTGAAATATTATCTCGGTTTAATTCTAGACATTCAGTCGCCAGCCAACAAAAGTTAGATAACGGGGACTTGGTCTCAACTTCCAGCAGGGTACAGTTAACGAAGTCATTGGTATTCAACTTTCAGGTTGCGTGATCTTGAGATTAAACTCTGATTGTTTAAAATTAATTTTAAATTTGCGAATCTTAGCAACAATGGTTTAAAAGGATGCATTAAATCGGTTTCAAATTTTTAGATTTTAATCCAGGGTACAAAGAGTGCCACGTTCTCGGTGACGATAATTAAATTATACCGTCTAAACATGATCTAAATTCTGACACTTATTTAATTTCAGATAAACGAAATCATGTCATAATTCGTTTAGCTTTGAGAAATTTGTATCCAGTGCACGTGTTTGAGAGGTCGAATAAACAGGTTACACGACTAACCTTAGAGTCATTGACGTTCTCATCGGCCTTGTAATAGTTGGTGGAAGGAGATGGGTTACTGATCCTGAGTTCCTGGGCCAGTTCCTCCAACTTAGACTGGACAGCGGACTCTTCCTGACTGGTCCTGCACCACTTCATCTTGAAGCGGGGATCAAGCGCTGCTGCTTCCTGAGGGGAATTTCAGTTAGAACCAAATCAGCCAACCTCTGAGCAGGTAATTTAATCTAATTCCCAGACTTATACTGTGATTAAACTCCATAAATACTCATTCCCGGACACGTGTAAATTAGCGGTGCGTGCGGCTGTAGCACCAGACGACCGTAAAATACCGATAATAAAGGGGCTTCGTTCGACAGAATGAGACGTGAACTTATCGAAGGTTTCGGCGACCCAGCCTACGAAATCGCTTCACAGTTGAAAGACTTTATAATTGGCACAGACGACAGTGGTATTAAAACCGTACCTGATAGTATTTCTGTTTCAGGAGGGGAGTAAGGTGTTTCTGGAGGGCAGTATTGAGGTTAACAACCACATCCCCCAAGTGAGTAGGCTTCATCTCTCTCAGCAGCTGGTCCAGGGACAGGATGCTCGGTACTACTATTCCAACACTTGGTGACGTATCACTTGAGATCAGATTGTATACCTGTAACAATTCAGGGTTAGCGAGGGTCGCGGAGACGGTTCGCATACCGAAACTTTAATTTTCATCTCTAACGGAAAGTTTTCATATTACGTTCTACTCATTGTATTATATATATATATCGATTGTGTTACTTATTGAAGGTGATCTGTGAATATCGCCCGATTGACGGGCAGTAATGACATATGGTTAGGGTGGACAGGTGAAAAGACTAGAAAGGAAACGCGAATAGGACATGTGGTCTGTGTAGTGAGAATGTCTGCAGTCAGCCAACGTTTTAACAGTGAATATCTCTTTTAAAAGCCAGATTAGATGTAATCAGAGTAACTATTGGGAAGAGGGCGAACACTTAGTTATTCGTTACAAGGCTGTTTTTAAGACAGACTTGTTGACCACAATATATTACGAATAATGTCCGTCGCTAGTTTTTAAACAAAGCAGTGCGGAAGGTAACTATGGTTTAACACAAACTTGGAAAATAATAATACCATTTAGATTACTACAAAAGAACTATGATGACCTTTGTCAACAGTTTAATATTTGGACAGTTTAATATTTATTAGTTCAATAATTATGATACCTTTAATAAATTGGTGCCCCGAAGGTCCTTGCTAGCCGATGAGCCAATAAATTATCCATAGTTTACAGTCCGAATACAAAAGATCCCGTGTCTATATTAATGTCAAGCAAGGCTTGAAGTTGGCACTAATTATAGACCGCAAACCAAAGCAAATTTTCATTAACATTCTCTAAGCCACTCTCCAACTCAGGATCAAATTTGCCGATATTTTGCCGAAGATCTGTGACACTGACAGTCGTTGCTACTGGACAAGAATAAGACAATGAGCGAGGTAAAACAATTGCTTGGACTTCACATTTTATCTGAAGCTAGTTGACAGTGACAGGTGTCACGCGGTAAAATAAACGGTAAACATAATTACTGGGTCATCTACCCCGTCTTATTCAAACTTTTTAAGACTATGATCTAATAGGCAGGAGGGAGGCATTGTGGCTAGACACTTGTCTGAACCGACCTTTACAATAAGTGGTGTGAAGTACAATAACAATATATAATAATATGCCTAGTGAAACGTGATGTGAGGTGCCAGCTTTGTAGCCTTACCTCTTCAAAGGGCTCCAGAATGTCTATCAGCTCCACAGCCAATGAGAGGTCTCGTAAGATACTGATGTTGTGAGCCGAGAAGGGAGAATTCAGGACCGTCTCTGTCTTTATATCCTTCCCAGGTGAGATACTGCTGGTTGGGCTGACGTTCATGTTACTTGGAGGACTCAGACTGCTCAAAGAGCCGTTCAGCAAACCTTTAGTCAGACCACTAGTGAGTCCGTTCAAAGTAGAGTTCAGTCCATTCATCCCACCTTTCAATCCGTTGAGAGACGAGTTGAGAGATGAGTTGAGAGATGTGTTGAGGCCGTTACTTAGACCGTTAGCTAGGCAGGTTGGGATACCATTGCTGAGAGAAGTAGGTAAACCATTGCTAGAGGAGGTGACAGTCTGCTAGCTAGACTCATGTTTGGTATCACGCTAGGAAAACTTCCTGACAGTCCATTGGTCAGGTTTGTAGGGAGCCCGTTAGCTAGAGAGACTGGGAGCCCGTTAGCTAGAGAAGCGGGAATTCCGTTGGTAAGAGAAGTTGGGAATGCATTGGCAAGTGGAGAAGTAAGTCCACCACTGAGGGAAGTAATGATGCCATTAGTGAGAGAGGAGTTAAGAGAGTTGTTGATGGAGGTGTTAATGTTGGCGCTGAGGGAGGTAGCGATGCCACTGTTCAGAGTAGAGGTTATACCATTACTCAGTGAGTTAGTGATGGTGGTCGAGTGGTTACTGTTGTTAACACTGGTCGTCATCAGATTAGCTTCTGTCTTCAGAGAGACAACATCCTTGTTATTGTTGATGAACACTGAGGAGAAATCATAGACTATTAATTTAGAATAAAGGTTAAATGTTTTAATCCATGTTCAAAATTCATTTGGTTGACGGATATTCGGAAGTCAGTGACGGTTGACGAAGTTTTTACCACACTTACATCGCCCGAGTATAGCTACTGTACAGTTTAACGAAGAGCTTAGCGTTACAAATTCTAGAAGGTCTCATTATAATATTATATAAAACTTGTTATAATATTTTAACTTTGAATATTCAATTTATTTACCTCTGAGTTTGGAAAGGACTTGCAACCAGAAGGGAGTGAATAGTGGTCCATCTTGACTCTGTTGGTTCACAGTAGCACATCTTTCGTCAAGAAGGCGGGTCAGCTTGGGATTGTTCAGTGCTTGGTGGATAACCTGAACAATTGAAAATAAAGCCTTCTGTCTTTGTGTCAGGGGACTAAAGAGTTAATACAATTAGCCATTATCACCCCCAAAGAACGCTTGTTTTTGGCTTAATAACACAGAACTCGCTTTGTTGTGAGAAGAAAGAATTATTGTTTGTTGTTAGTACCTTGGTGATAACGTAAGCGAAGCTGGAGTCAGTCTGTACTGGGTCAGATCCCTCGCCATCCGAAGACGTGGCCTCATTGTCTGCCTTAGTGGTGCTGTCCAACCTGCGATAGAGCAAACCCATAATAACACAATGTGATAGTTAGGGAACTAGAGAGGACTGTGAAAATAATAGAACAGAGCTAAATTTGTAACTTATCCAGTCCACGACACGTACTTTAGTACTTATGAGGTAGTTGTTGCCATGGGAACAAAAACAAATATTTACTAACAATAGTAATTCTTAAAATAGTCTTGATACAAACAACAAAGAATAGGGCGAATAAAAAAGTTCAACTTACTTGGAATTTCTGGTGAAGTCTTCAAGCGAGAGTCTGTTGACCTTCTCGTAGTAAATCTTGTTCGTGATCCCGTAAACATGCTTGGTCTGCTCTACAAGATTCTCCCACTCCATTCCAGGCGATATCACGTACACAGCCAGGAGATGATGTTTTAACTCCCAGTATACACTGCAGAGATATTGATACCGTTACTATCGAATTCTTCTTGTAAATCAGTACGAATAAGGACAGTTTGTGATACTTCAGGCTCAAGTTTACTTCAGGGTTACTTCAGGGTTAAGTTCAAGAATCACGTGAGATAAGAATGCCTGATAACGTTGCCATATTCCATGAAAATGATTTTTAAGAGAAGTTTTAGAGATTACCGTGAATGTATATCACATGAAGAACCCACCTTAAGTAGTAAGCAGTGACGGCAACAAAGCAGTTGGATATAACCGATATCTGCAGGTTCACCACAGGTACCAGGGATAGTTGAGAGATGATGGAGTCTTTGACGTGCTCGTATGCTGGAGAATCAGGGGTTAAGAGATCTATCATATCTATCACTTAGTATCAACAAGATTAAATTTACTGTATTCCGCCGCTCTTTGAGCTTCAGACAGACTTTACTAAGACGAAAATAGAAAGTGTGACGAGATACGCAATTACCTAGATTATATTAATTGTGATATCCTTGATATCATCATTTTCCGGCCATAAAAATTGAGTCAACCTAACCCGGAAACAGTCACAATAGTTGGAAATGGAATGCGAACGTGTTTTCTGGAACCTAGACAGGAATTTAGAGATTTGTTTATCTACCAAGCACCTACCCGAGGGTATGAGAGTATCTCTGATTTGAGTTGCAGTGGGTAGCCCAAAGAAAGGATGCATAGCTCTGATGAGATTCCTGAACCCCTTCCTGTTGATGACAGAAGCAGGCTGGATGTCCATAACAAGGTAGTTTAGAACAGATCTCATGATAGCGACCTGTCTGTCTGCATCTGTCTGTCCCATGTTAGTCAGGGAGGCCAGGCTGGTCGGGGTCAAGCCCTCGTGTTTCAGAGGGTTACTCAGGAACTCTGCTTTAGGCACCTGTGGAGATATCATAAGTTTAGAGATCAAGTATTTCGGTATCTTTCCTAAGTAGTACTCGTTCTACGAGTATGGTTGTATCAGTGGGAGTATTTTTACATTGTGCATCTGATTTACAGGGCCACGTTATAGACAATATAAATGACCTGCCCTAGTTTCGATCCAATCTACTTTATTATTGCTCTCTATCCGAGATACTTTCTACTGGTTTAGTTTCGTTTATAGGAGACAGGAGTACTATAATGTCCTTGTCCTTCAATATCAGGATTTTTTAAATGAGGTCCATTAAGCAGGCTTAGTTATCCTGGTCCACAGAGCAATTATATTTAGACTTAACCAGTTGAACAAGGCACATCATACGAGGTTCCCTCTCATTAAATGCTTCTTATTTGACGTTATTCCTCCCTTCACCAAACAACGATCCTAAATATCAGTTCCGAATAATGACATTAGCCTGGATGACGAAGATTATTGCTGATGATAGCGTTTTAGTCCGCTTAATGACCACGACCTTCATTTAGTTGGATGTGAAGAGCGGAGTTCCGGAGGTTATTAGAAATCATTATTGCGGATCAGACTGGCCTATTAGGAGACAAGCAGCTCATTGTATCGCTTCCACTACTTAATTTTCATTAACCCGATCCCTTATCAAATAATACTATCGGTTTAGAGCGCTTTATTTCCGATAAGTTAGTTATTGTGAGCAATTAGGCCGCTCAGACAGAATTGTCTGACTCCATTAACCGGAGGGTAATACAGAAGACTAATCCTCCACTTATCTACTCACTTGAAACATTAACAGTCACCAAACTAATGATTGTTTACATTACAACCCCACACGTGTGCGGTGAGCCTTGCACGCTCCATCTCAACTAATCTAATAATCACTGTTTATTGAGGGCATTTAGCTTGGACAATAGGCCAGCACCGATCAATCATTAACAAATACAGCGATTATATTGGTGACCAGCAGGCAGTGAGGAGCTTATTTACCAATGTTTGGAGGATGTTACTACTAGTTAGGGGGATAATGTATCCAGAGATAGTATATCGGTAGCTTGCTATCTTCCTCCTCACAGCCAAGAAGGAGGCACAATTCTTAACTTTCTCACAACGTGCCGCCAAATTGGAGGTTCACTTCCTCCCACCAGGACAGAGACTGGACATTAACCAGTACGGTTAAATAAACTCACATATTCCCACAATTAGTATATCAACGACTTGTTTACCAATATTGGCCTGGTTAATGATTGGAAAGCGTCTTCGTGGCCACTACTTCTCAATAACAAACCACTACATTTTTAACCAGCCCAATGGTTTTCATACTGTGTGAAAATGGGAGGACGACTAATAGAATTTCTGAGGCCATTTGTAATGCGTCTACTTAAAACTACTTAAACCGCACTGACCAAAACTTAGTTCGAACTTATGGGAAAGTTTGACGAAGGTCATCGCATTGAAGGCAAACCAGGGGATAATTATATGGTTTATTGATTTGTTGAAAACCACCGACCTTAACGAAAAGTCCAGGCATAACGGTTTGGAAATCGATTATATTTATAACAATGAAGTAATCAACCACAGAAGGAAACCACCAAAAAGCCGTCTTATAACTTTAATAAAACCAAATAAACACGACTTTAAAATGAAATCCAAGTTCAAAGAAATTAACTGAAACCGACCTGAGCTGCGATGGAAGTAAGGTAGTTCCGTCCATATGCAGGGAGCATGGAGGTTCCTTGATGTCGAGCCAGGAAGGAGGTGGCTTTCTCCGCACGCTCCGCCTTCTTACGCGCCCAATCGTGCAACAGCTCAGGATGCACGTGCTGAAAGTTTGGGAGTTAGCATTCAAAATATATTGGAATCATTGAATTGAAAGATTTGAACAATTTTAAAACATAAAAAAGTATAATATGTTATTGAAATCCTTGGGTTCTGAAAAATATATAAGGATAAAGTTGAAACCTTGAGATGAGTGATAAAGTTGCTGTTTACACTGGCTGTTCCTTTGTAGTCTCGCTGACATATCTTACACCGTCTGATGGTCCTCTTCTTTCCGTCAACGTACTCCTCGCGAACGAGATCAAAATATTTGTGTTCTATCTTTGCATCCATTCCGTATTTGTGCTCTAAGTCCATTCTCCTTGAGGGGAAAGGAAGAAAGTATCAGTACTTGCAAAAATTATACAATGTTTCACTGCCAAAAGAAATTGCGTAACGCATCAGTGAATTTAAGTTAAAACTTTAACATGGACAGTCTTAATTCAAGAGTCAAGATACTGTTTCAACAAGTAAACAAAAGCAGGGATTGCACCTAATCCTATCGTGCGAGAGTTAGTTTACTTTATGACATTCTTAAACGCTGATTAAATGATAATCGCAGTTAATTTCGGTACTATTTGATACAGAAAATTATTACTGAACCGAACTAAGCCTTGGTTCATTATCCATATTGAACTAGAAAAACGCAGGAAAAAATTATCGGGAGATTAAAGGCAATAACGAAATCAAACTGAAAAGAGCCGAAAAGATAGTTGAAGAGAATCGAGTAAAGAAATTAAGGAGAAGTGAGCCGTAGACTACTAAACGCTTCACATTGAATTACAATTGTATTTGCTAGGTCGGAAGCATGAAATGGGTCGTAATGAAGCTATCACTGCTTTACAAATTCAGGAAACTGTAGCGGAAAGGGACAATGACTAAGTTTGAAAAAGAGGAGGAATCTAAGTCATTTTCATGGATAGTGGAGACAAATTACAAGGCAATGGTATGAAGTATCACGGGCTTGCTGTCCTGGAAGCGGGTCATTTGTCCGATATCTAGTCTAGCATTAACATATTACTCATCCCTCTGACTCACATCAGGGCCAGTTACACGCTTATTTTCATTAGATTAAGTTCTCCAAATTTCCTATATCGCTGTTTATCTTGGACCAAAAATTGCATTAAAATTTCATCCTGGAGGTAACGTAATTAACGGGGGTGGAATTAGCTTGACTTCAGCTCAATTCTAGACGTTGATCTTGCCAAGAGTGAGGGCTGATCTTGGTTAATCGCTAAAATACCAATATCAAGCTAAATTCCGGGCAAGTGCTGCAATCCATACATACCAATTACATTGTTCAATGTCCTAAAGTCACGAATCTCAAGATTTGAGGACACGATGAAAAAAAGCATTGACGATAGTTGAACTACATGGAAATAAAAAAAGAACCCCAGATAAAAGTTCAAATCAGGAGCACTCCGCAGTTACGTAGTTAGTACAAGTCTTTTAAAATATTTTTTGGCAGGGACCAGGGTTCATTAATATTTACGGACAGCTGGAACGATCGCAAGATCTGCAATACCTGATTAATGTACCTACGTAAAGCGTTCCACAATATTAGTTCTACTCAAGTGAGAGATTCTGCTTCTAAATGTGAGGGCCCCAAGGCAAGTCAGAATAAAGTCAGAATCGGTTAGGATTAATGTTAAGATAATCCTTTTGGTCGGCATGGTCACTGAACCAAGGGGATTTTTAAAGACGATATGTTCAGAATGGCTCGATTCTTCCGAAATTTCGAAGATGATCAAAATGGTAGCGTATTCATAATTTTATATTTACTGTAACGGTAAAGTCAGACAGATTGAAGTATTCCCAGCCAGGAGAATAATTGGGGATGTGGCGCCCAATAAACTCAAACCAGCTAACTGATCTATATTATACCGGGCACCTAATGCGTGGAAAGGTAGTTTAAATTAACCACGTCTCGCAGCAACTCACGAGCACAACTCCACTACATAAAAGATATTGAGGAAGCGACGCCGAGGGAGGATAATTTAACAAAATTCGCTGAAATTAACTGATAAAGACGGCGAAGAATTGATTAATCTACAGATTGAGTCTGCCTCACGAGCCCAATAACCTCCAAACAAGCTAACTACTCACAGAGAAAGGTTATTGGCGAGGGTAAAGATTTATTGAAGGTGAGGTGATGGCGGGGTAAAGCAAACAGTTAGTTACCGTAACAAGCACTGTACTACACTCCACATTAACGGTGACATTTTAAATAAACAAAAGCAACTGCTGCTCCGCCGTTTAATTATCCCCGCGCGGACCGGTATGAGACGGGACTAGGAGTCACGTGATTACGTGACGTCGCAGTTGAGGACACGTGTGAGGAGCAGTCACGTGATTTCTCTTGTCACGAGAGTCAAGAAGCAGCTTCCAGTGAAGCTAGGTTAACGGGGCAAGGTTAGTATAACACAGCTGTTTACACAAATAATAACAACGTCATCGACTGATCAGGGATGTAAGACATGTCCCAAAACCAATAAACTGATCACAGTATTTCGAAGGTGAGCTGAGACTGTGTTAATGTGACACGAGTCCCCGAAATCAGGATGATGTTACGGGTTTACTGCGTTCGTAACCCATTGTTCAGGAATTTTAGACCCCGTTATTACTGGACGCTCTGCCCTTAGCACTAGATAAGTAGATAATTCTCAGGTTTGAAACAGGTTGAATGGCCTTCTAATTATGTCACCTTTAGTATCCTATTATCACAAAGAAAACTGATAAGCCAGGTTTGAAGTAAACAAATTAACCAATAAAAGTCTCTTAAATTAAATAAAGAAAATTTGTAATAATATGTCTTGATGTTACTAAAAGTTGGTCGTGCTGTCTAGACGTACTCCGGGAGCCAATAAACGGAGCCCTCCATTTCAAGTGCCGCCCAATAGGAACACGTGAAAATTACAGAAAAACCAATAAAAATCCGTCTACTAGATTCTGGTTGAGCAGCTCAAACCTTGACGGGGTAAGAATTACACTCCCCTACTTATCGCACTCTTTGAAACCTGAAATAGACTCTTTCAACAGAGCATTAACTAAATTACGGTCCGGTTTATTAATCAGGATTGCAGGGCACCGAGAGTCGGGGACCGAGCTCCGAGTCAAAAGATTTGACGGGAAGATCGCAGACTATCACGCGGCGAGACACATGTGCAGTTCAACGACTCAACCATTGCTTTTAATAATGGCTAGAGCGACGACTCCAGTGACCAGTTCCAACCGGGGCGGCTCCAACTCATTGCAATAAAACACGCTGTACGAAATATGTTGAACAATTGCAACTCCACATATCGGTAATACGAGGTATGAGGACGGGGAGACGACAGTTAGCTGGTATGAGAGCCAGCATTCCATCCTCCTGTGGTTAGCTAACCAGGTAGTAACCCTCCATAATCTCTATATAAATCCCGGGACTGTATTTAACGGAACAGGAGGTCGTCAACTGATAGCAGACAGTAGCAAAAAGTAACTGTAAGTATCATCTAACGGCAATCGGTTTAATTCTCTCCAAATATATTTTTGGAAAGTTAACTGTTACAGTTAAGTACCCTCAATTATATCAATTAAAAGTTTACGCATTCATTTAATGCTAGAGGCTACGAAACTAAGAAGACCCTGGGAGTGGAGCACTGACACGAACCTTCAATAATTCCTGGGACCTATATTAAGTTATTCCTAAAGATATGCTCATTAATCAGTGATATAGGTTTTATCCAAAGACAGGACATAGTTGCTGAACCTTATCATTTAAGTTGACAAGTCACAAGATCACACGATGTTAAGAAGTGCCAAATGCAATGATTAATGAAACCAAATGGAATGGTTAATCAATAACTTTTAGCACCTTTTTAGGAAAGATCGAGTAATTTGAAAGAAAATCAGATTAACTCATTTGCGATCGAAAATGGGGCTGAAAGAGCAATAGGAAGATATCAATAAATATTAACGATTATTGTTAACGGTATCACATTACTAGTATAGCGGGAGATACTAGTATCGATCAACTGTGGCGTTCTCGAACACTCTTTCCCTGTTTATCTACTGATAAAGAAAAAGTGAACACCTGTGAGAGATGTTTTGTGGATCATGTGCCCAGGAACTTTAAGTTGGGCCACGTTGGCGCGGTTTAATGCTCTCTTAACTTCAAATTACCATACAAATATTCAAGTGATTACTTTATTAGACCGGATGTGAACTGCTCTTAAAGGGTTTAAACCGGGAAAACTTAAGATTAATTCGATATCGCCAAGGCATTTGAATCAATTTGCATCCGCTATAGTGCATGGGAAATGGACCCTTTTATTTATGCCGGCCACTGAATATACTTCGATCATTCATATGAAATCATTTTACCCGGGTAAGAAACTGCTAGACATGTTGTTCCACAAAGGCAGTATCAACCTCAGGCTAAGGTACAAAAGTCAGACTGGGTGATAAAGTCATCTCCCGACTTTAGATAACTATCAGAAGATGATAGATGAGAAACAAATGATATCTCGAATAAGAGAACAGATATCTCGGGACAGAGGTGCCTATATAACCAGATATTCGGACGGGAGAGAGGTTTATCACGCGCTATCCAACAAAGGCAATCACTTGCTGGACACGTGACAGGATCGGCTCGTTACAGATTCTAGCATATCTAAATTAAACTTAATTTGATGATCAGCTACAACGTGAATCCAATAACGATATTGGAGCGAAGTGTCGAGATCTACTGAATACTACAAGCTATTGAACTGTAAATCATGTAATTTATTAAGTTTCTCAACGGCTCGATTATACTGCGAAGGTTGAAACACCTCAAGAACTGATCGGCCAATGAATGAGGTGATAGTGATCAATCAGATCATTGAGACGATCGTAAAATGTCACGTGGGCGTTGTGGCACTGGGAATGGATAACAGTGGGTAGCGCTGTATATAATATTGATTGCAGTACAATAGTACAGAGGAGACAGTTTGTGATAATCAATAGAAGGTCGAGAGGGAGGGAGAGAGAGAGTGAGATGTCAGATGACAGGTGAGGAACTGTTTCAGGAACAGTGCAGTGAAGACACGCGACACCGTCAGACACTCGCGAGAGCGCTGCATCCCTCTGGGCAAATAAATTGGTAAATAGATTAATTGCTGATATAAGACTTGCGCAGATGAAATTCAGATAGAACATGTGATTAATAAAGTAGTAGCTGATAGTGATATTAGAGATGAGACCCAGCTCTGATATGCACCTATCAGAAATATATTGAGCTTATCAAATGTGACAAATTGAAGCTGCTAACCAGCACGATCACCGTCGATAAGATT